TCTTGGTTCCGGCTCTGTTTCTTGGTGGTCTACCCGCTCGTCTTCGGTTCTCAGCTCCAGTTGTGAGGCTGAGATCTACGACGGGGCCATGGCTGCTCAGGAGCTCCGTTGGCTCACCTACCTGGTGACCGACTTGGGAGAGAAGCCTCGATCGCCTCCAGTTCTGTACGTAGACAACAAGGCCATGATTGCCTTGTGTCAGGAGCACAGACTGAAGCACAGAACAAAGCACATCGCTCTGCGATACTTCCTTGCTCGAGAGTTGCAGCAGCGTGGCCAGCTTCGTCTTGCGTACGTGGCCACTCGGGCCAACACTGCTGATGTCTTTACCAAGGCACTTCCGTCTGGTGATCATCAGTGCTTTGCTACTGTACTATGCCTTGTTCCTACTTTGCCTCACCTGCTTACTGCTTGACTCTGTTTGTACTGTGATCTATAGATATACCTGCATGCTTGCACTTGCTATGGTATGATCACTGTATTGTTTGTTCTCTTTATATAACTCTGCATGTGAACTGGCCTTATGGCCCTTTGCTTGTGCTCGGACTGTGTGGTGACTTTGTGATCCACCCTGAGCTTGCTTTGCTTTTCTTGACTGGTCTTGTGACCACTTATTCTCCCCCACTTTGCCTATGGGGGTGTGTCAAACTTATGTGCTGCACATTGTGTAGTCTGTAGTGGGGTAGCCTATATGGGGTACAACACAACTCAGGGTTAGTACTTGTACTCATCCTGCTGCTAGTTCATCCCATTCTCGTTCGTTACTTTGACAGAAGTCACCTCGGACTTCTTCGCGAGAGGAAACACCATGGTATACCTGGAGTAGTCGTCAACGACCACTACAAAGTAGCGCTCCCTCTCAGGTCCCAGCGTGGGGGCAGGGCTCCAGACGTCCAAGTGGAGAGTCTGGAAGGGAGACGAAGGGAGGAGGAGTGCGGAGTGGCGCGCGGGCGGCTGGCGACGCAAGGAGTGCAAGGTGGAGCAAGCGAGGGAGGGAGCGATGGAAAGACGCGCGGGAGACCTGAGACAAGACTGTGACTAGCCATGTTGTGGAGGCGGGGGATCGACGGGTGGCCAAGACGGTGGTGCCACAAGACGGTCGGGTCGGCGAAAGACCGACAGGAGAAAGACGCAGCAACCTGACCAAATGCAGCGACTTGACTAGACCCAGCAACTGGAGGGGACGCACTAACCTGACCGGACTCTGCTACCTGGGGGGACGCAGTCACCTGACAGGACTCTGCTACCTGGGAGGACGTAGTGTGCAGAACAAAGAGACCTGAGTGGGGCTCCCTGGTGAACGTGGCAAGAAGTGCCCCAGTGGAACCGTCGGTACAGATCGTCGTCCTCCCGTGCGCAGAAAAAGTGACTGTGATCCCACAGTCCTGAAGGTATCCAACACCCACCAAGTTCCGAGAGAACGAGGGGATGTAGAGACCAGTGAGGAAACCAGAAGGGACAGCCGGGCACGGGAGAGTGGTCGAGCTGCGAGCGTCTGCTGGTCCTGAACTAGGATCAGACAGGTCAACTGGGACTGGAGCCGAAAGAGGTGTGACAGTGGTGTGGTCGCGGAAGAAGCACTGCGACGCGCCTAAGTCCAGCGTGAAGGAGAGCGACGCGACAGCAGTCGTCACGGCTAGAGTAGTGACTACACAAGCACCTACACTAAAAGCACAAGGACCTACACTAGCAACAGGCAAAGAGCCTAATCTGGGCACACGCAAGTCAAGAGATCCATACGTGACAGAATAAACAGCATCCATAGACATATCAAACACAGGGTAACCACTACGAGATAGACCGGGCCAGATCGGTGGCCTCGACTCAGACCCAAAACGCTCACGGTAAAGGTCGTCGAGGCGACTGTAGCAGCGGTGTGTAGAGTGGTCAGGACGCCAGCAGGTAGTGCCAGCACCAGGGCCAGTCAGGATCCGGTACTAGCAGGGGCCGACGTCGCGACCACTGCGACGAGCCCCCCAGCTGGCGGGGCCACTGCTGCAGCCAACGCTACCCGAACCACCAGGCCCCCACGGCTGCTAAGGGCGCCACTGCTGCTGAGTGCGCCACTGCTGCTGAGGATACCACTGCTGCTGAGGGCGCCACTGCTGCTGAGGTTCCCATTGCTGAAACTGTCGCTGTTGCTGTCCCTGCTGTTGGAGAACTCTAGTGGACGCCATGGTGAAACTAGGCGAGGAACGGCCGGAGCACGGAGCAAACTGAGCTAGAAGCGACTGGAGCAGGAACGGCTGGAGTGAGACACGGCCGGAGCTAGAAACGGCAGGCTAGAAACTACGGGCTCGAGGAGCGGCTGGATCGAGGAGCGAGAACAACTAGGAGCGTCAGGTGAAACTAGGCAAGGATTAGCGGCCTCCAGTCGCAGCGGAACGGTGAACCCAGTGAAGGAACTGTAGGGAACGGGAAAACCGACGGTGAGAAAACCCGAGAATGGCCTGCTACGGGCCGTGGCGCGCTAGAGGTGCCAGTCGCTGCGAGAGGTGCCAGTGGGCGGCTAGAAGGAGGTGTGGGCGGCTAGGAGGAGGTGTGGGCGGCTGGGAGGAGGTGTGGGCGGCTAGGAGGAGGTGTGGGCGGCTAGGAGGAGGCGTGGGCGGCTAGGAGGAGGTGTGGATGGCTAGGAGAAGGTGTGGGCGGCTAGGAGGAGGTGTCGGCGGTTAAGAGGAGGTGTGGGCGGCTAGGAAGGTACGTGAGGTGCAGGGGCGTGCATGTCTGGCCAGGGGTGCAGGCTCCTGGCCAGGGGCACGCGCTGCTATGCCCGGGTGGCGCGTGCTGCTCTGCTAGGGCGCGCGCTGCCCTGTATATGGGAGCGTGCTGCACTGCAAGGGCGCGCGTTGCTCTGCACGGGCAACGCGACGGGCTGAGGCAGGGCGCACGGGCGATGCGACGGGCTGGGGCAGGGCGCACGGGCTACGCGACGGGCTAGGGTAGGGCGCACGGGCTACGCGACGGGCTGGGGAAAGGCGCACGGGCTACGCGACGGGCTGGGGCAGGGCGCACGGGCTACGCGACGGGCTAGGGTAGGACGCACGGGCTACGCGACGGGCTGGGGCGGAGGCGCGATACAGAGGGCGTGGAGGACGCGTAGGGGAGGGCTAGGCGCGGAGGCGTGGAGGGCGCGTTATGGAGGGCGCTGAGGGCGCGTTACGGAGGGTGCGGAGGGCGCTTGGGCGCATGACGGAGGGCGCGTAAGGCGCGGAGGGCGCTAGGGCGCGTGACGGTGGGCGCTAGGGCGCGTGGCGGAGGGCGCTAGGGTGCGTGACGGAGGGCGCTAGGGCGCGGAGGCACGCTAGGGTGCGTGACGGAGGGTGCGTAAGACGTGGAGGGCGCTAGGGCGCGTGACGGAGGGCGCGTAAAGCGCGGAGGCATGCTAGGGCGCGGAGGGCTTGAGCGCGCGAGCTAGGCTAGGCTAGGCAAGGATTCTAAACCTACTTGTGATACCATCTCAGAAATAGAATGCAACTGAATGATTGAACTAGAGAAGCAAGGGATACAAATAGCAACTTTAAAAGTGTTGTACTCCCTAGAGTGCTACTCACTGTAGCCTAAGAGCGTGTTCTTACAGGCCTGTTATCAGGGGACCTGATATCAGACTCGGAGGTCTTTGAGGTTTTCATTATAGAACAGCATTTTGAAGACTGTATCGTGCGGCAAAAATTCGCGCGGGAAATTGTTCTGACATGGCACATCGGCGAACCATCTCGAGTCATCACGCTCCAGATCTTTCTGACGCGATATCGATTTCACGTGCAAACAGATCTCTATTTTGTCGGATGTGGTTTCCTTTTTCAACGTGTGCGGAAGTCGCCAGAAATTTGTTCACAAATGACGGAACGAGTCAATTGAGTAATGTTCACACGTTTCGTTTCAAACCTAAATCCACCGAAACTATTTCAGGGCAGAACAAAAACCAGTCATCTAAGCGTTTTTACTTGCACTCCTCAGGCCACGCGAAAACCACAAATTAAAAGTCATATTAAGCCGAGATGTAAGTGGTTTGTGCGAGTCTGACTAGAGGTTGGCCTGATAACAGGCCGTAGGAACACGCTATACGAACCTATAATAACATGTGACAGTTTGAAAGACCGTGATGCCATGGCATTCAAAGTTCCAACAGTTTGGCACTTGGTAGTTGATGCAAGAGGGATGTACTCTGGTGGTGAGGTGATACCTTAGTTGAGGGTGTCAAACTTATATAGTGCTTACATTGTGTAGGCTATAGTGGGGTAGCCCATAAGGGGTACAACCCAATTAGGGTTAGTACTTGTACCCAACTTTCTGTTCATTCTCGTTCAGTTGTTTCAACAGAGGGAGGATGGGAGGGGTGCGAGGGGGAAGGGTGATGGGATGATACGGGATTGCTTTTCTTAGTTTTCTTTCGTAGAAAAGGTTCTCGGTAACTCAGCTACAGTACAGTACCCTGGCTGGTTCATATTCATACGGTACATTCAAAGCAAAGGCACACGCATTCATCTCAGCTGCTTGTTCGAAGATTCTTGTGAGAAGTTTCACAATGGCAACAAGTGAGATGATCAAAGGTCACTCGTCTCGTCACCACGCTGTCACAGCGAGTGCCAGACAAACGCCCCCCTCTCCACTCCAACCACCTGTCCTTTTATCCTTCACCACCTTGCTTCCACCCCCTCCATCCCGGTTAGCTCTCTAAACAAGGAGATCCCACCCACCACCAGCACGGTGTCACAGCGAGTGCCAAGTAAACGACCCCCTCTCCACTGCAATCATTTGTCCTTCATCATTCACCACCGCACTCCCATCCCCTCCACCCCGGGTAGCTCTCTACACAAGGAGATCCCACCCACCACCACCACTGTGTTTACGGCGAGTGCCAAACAAACGCCCCCCTCTCCAGTGCAACCACCTTTCCTTTATCCTTCACCACCTCGCTTCCACCCCCTCCACCACCCCACCGGATCACCACCTCGCATGTATCTGCAGCAGGCTGCGCCCGCCACCCTCCTGTGCGAGGGTCACAGCGAGTGCCACGTAAAATCACCCCTCTCCACTCCAACCACCTGCCCTTTATCCTTCACCGCCTCGCCTCCTCCCCCTCCATCCCCCCACCGGATCACCAGCTCGCGTGTATCAGCAGCTGGTAAAGCCACCCTGAGAGTCTCCCAGGGGACTCTGTACCCGCCTCCTCTGCTGCTCTCCCCTCTGCTGCTCTCCCCTCTGCTGCTCTCCCCTCTGCTGCTCTCCCCCCTGTTGCTCTCCCCACTGCTACCCACACCACTCTCTCCCCCAACCCCCCCCTGTACATGCATGATCGCTACTGTCACCACCACCTTCTGTGCATCCCAGTGCATGCACACATGCACCTCTGCTCTGTCCCCTTTAAGAGTCTCCCCATCATCCTCGTACAAGACGCACTGGATCTCCCCCCCACCTTCCCCTGACGCTCCAGCTGTAGCAGTGCCAGCAGCGCGAGTGGCAGCAGAAGAACCAGCAGCAGCAACACTAGCACCACCAACACCAACGCCACTAGCAGCAGCACCAGCAGCAAACCCCACAGGGGGAGGGAACACTCTGAGAACCCTAGACCCCTCATCATGCAACCCACTGAAATCCACCGTGCTTTCAGTCATCGCCACTATCCCACCTGCCCGAACAAAGAACGGCACTCGGTCAAGCGGAGCCGCCACCGTCACAACCTGCCCGGGCAGAAAAAACTCCTCCGAGTAAAAGTCAAACCAGCCCGAACACAGAGCTTTGGTTTCAGAGGAATCAGCAGTTCTTTTCTTCCCAGGCTGCCCGCCGGGCAGGTAAACTTTTCTCTGGTGTGCCCCGCGTTCGACCACTGGGGCTGCCAGCAGCATGGGTCCCACCATAAGCTCATCCCCATCCCTCCAGCATCGGTCATCCTCAGGAAAATCGTAAAACGTCGGGCGGATAATCGGCTCGTGAAAAAAAGAGGCTCGGAAGGAGAGAGAGTAGAGGTATGGGATGAGGCGGTATCTCAGCCGCACAGACCAACGGACGGCTGGGATCGATTCGGTGTACATCCAAGGGCAGGTGATGGTTCCGTCAGGCTTCCAGCTGTTCATGAGGAATCGTGGGTGCAGCAAGCCGGCTTGGACCCACCGAACCAGGAGCTCAGGCTCGGGAGGAGGTCCGGAAAAGCCACCGACGTCGTGACCACAGTTGAAGAGACCGGAGAGGGAGAGGCAGAGACCAAGGCGGAGATTCCACCTAGATATTCCCAATGGGGCAAACAGGAAAAGAGGCGAGGAAATAGAAAAACAGGGTGGGAACCAAGTGGGTGCATGAAAGGAGAAAAAAAAACCACGTCCCAGAAACCATCCTGAAAAAAAAAAAAAATCATGACAAAATTTATCAGCACAACAGTTTTGAGAATTCTTAAAAGTGACTACAAAATTCACAAGCACAGAAGTAGCACCACCATACCTGAGTGATTTCCAGCTGGTGGAGTTATCCCCCGACCAAGTCTGTGCATATCGCTGAATGCCGAAGCTCCCAGCTCTGGTAACCGAATAGGGTCGGCGGCCAGGCTTGGCCCGAACCTGCTGCTCGAACGAGGCGCGGGTCATCATCAGCGCATGGATCGGCCGATGCAGAAACAGAGGCTCGGGGCGGCCGAACATGTGACTGCACGCATCCTCCTCCCAGATCTCATACTCGTTATTGTCATTCCACGCGGTCTGTATACCCACATCTAGCAGCGCTCGCTGCATGTTGAGCTGCCACCAGGCAATCGTGAATGGGCTGGTGAAGTCTAGGTGTGCTCCCAGCCCGTCCCAGAACTGGCTTATAGCGGGCAGTCTAGATTCAGCTGTTGCTGGCGGCTCTGCTGCACTCGGCTTTGGAAAAGAATCTGCTTCCTTCTCTGACCCTGCTGCTCCTGCTCCCCCTCCCCCTCCCCCTACTCCTGCCCCTCCTCCAGCCCCTCCTCCTGCCACATTCACTCCTGTTCCTGCTCCTCCTATCCCCTTTACCCCATCTGCACCTCCTATCGCTGCATCCCCACTCAAGAAGACAAACCCATTCCCCCCACCCACCTCACCATACCTCGGATGATCAATCAGCATACAAGGCTTTACATTCGCTACCACCTGCATCCCAGCCGCCCTCATCTCCCCCACCAGCCCCTGCGGATCAGGAAACTTAGTTAAGTTCCAGTGGAAAACGTATCTGCGCTTACCGATCATGGTGTAGCCCGAGCCGAAGTGGAACGCACTGACAGGCATGTGGGTGGAACGGGCGGCTGAGAGGAACCGGGAGATGCGCGCCTGCGCATCTGGAGCGTCGGCTAGCGGCATGGCGGTCAGGTGGAGACCCAGCGTCCACCGTGGTATCAGAGCGGGCCCTACGGCTTGTGGTTGTGATGCTGGTGGTGCTGATGTTGATAGTGGCAGTGGCGGCTGCTGCTTGCGTTCGTTGCTACCCCTCTCTTCCACCTTCCCTTCCCCAACCCCCTCCCCTCTTTCCCCACCCTTCTCTCTCACCCCCCCTGTCATTAGCCTAGAAAAAGTCCCTATCACCTCTCTAACCCCCGGCCCCACACCCATATACATATCCAAATCCCCATCCCTCCCCCTCCACACCCGGTACGGCCCGTAATAATTGCTGTTCTCACACCCCAAGTCTACGTCAGCACCATCTGCCAGGCTGTCGTACAGCTGGCCATAGCACACGCGCGTGCGCCCGTCACGCGTCAGCAGCAGCGGCCAGTGCTTATAAAGGGGATCGCCTTGTAACGGGTCGAAGCCGAGCGCGTCGCGCATGCCTATAGCGAGGCGGCGCGAGTGGAGATTTAGAGGACCTGTCTTGTCGCCTAGACCGAAGTAAAAATCGCCTCCTGCTGCTGCTGCTGTGGCAGCACCATCTGTATAAGCATCAGCGTCAGCAGCATCAGTGGCATCAGCAGCAGTGGGAGCGGTATCTGCATCGGCAGGGGAGGGCGGGCATCGTTTCATGGCGTGTTCAAACGCGAAGGAGCGATCAGAAAAGCGGTACGGGCAGCTTTCCCTGTCCTCTGCGAAAACGACAGGGCGGCTGTTTTCGTCCGTTTTTGTCCCCAGTAGAAGCTGGGTCGCGGCTGCAGATGCGGTGCTGCTCGGAACGGCCCACGAGAGATGAAACGGCTCCAAACGGACGGTCAGGATCAGCTGCGACGAGCGGATGGTCACGGCAGGAGCTTGGGGCGCTGTAGCCTCCGTTATAGTGCTCCCTGATTGCGGGAGAGTGCTCTGTTCTGTCAGCGCCACTGTGGTTTGCTCTACGGAGTAATCTATGCGAGCGAAGGGGATGTTCAGGCGGTCGTAACCCTCCCATGGGGGATCGTGCGGTGACGGCAGCAGCGGGCTTTGCGGGAGATCGCCTGTGAACGGCACTTGAAACGCCCCCGCTGCGCCTGCGGCTGCGGAAGGAGATTCCGCTGCGGATTGCGGCGCTACAGATGCGGATTCCGCGTCCACGCGGCCGCAGCAGACGGACCAGGTGCGCGGCTCGCGGAGGCCGCCGGGGTGGAGGAAGAGCATGCGGAAGAGGTTGCGCGCGACGGGGGTCACGCGGAGCACGAAGCCGTCGTTGCAGTCGAACCACACGCCGGCCGCGTCCACGCGGTTTAACGAAGCGCGGGTAATTGCCGGCATGGCTGCCGGCTGGCCGTCTTCTACCTACGGAATCGCCTAGGTGAGAGTGGAATCGGAGTCTAACAAGACACGTGGCGGAATTTTTTACATGACATGCAGAATAATTGATTCAAAATCTAAATTCACACGAAATTGGACCTGATTGCAAACTGGGGGCGAGTTTGAGGAAGTGGGCATTGTACGCGGTACGAAGACGCAACCGCTGAGTTTGATAAGGGAATAAGCTAGTCAATGTGGGTAAGCAGAGGACCAACGCTAGTATGCTGCATTTACAGTTTTATGCAAAATTGGAGCTCCACAAGCACATCTTGGCTTCACAATGGGTCTCAAACTGTGAACAAGTGACCATTTCGCCATTTTATTTTATGCGACCATATGTCCAATATCATGTATCACTTATTCACTACACTACATAATACGATACACTATTTTTCATCAGCCTCCAACTCCTCCCCGAACTGCTCCAACCTTCTTGCTTCTTCCTCCTCGTCCCTCACAAGCCCCCAGTTGACCAGACCCTTGTCTTCAACCGCTGATATTTGTCGGCCCCCGAACCTAGGAAGGGAAGGGGAGGCATTGAATAGGGCTCAATAAAATGAAGTAAAAAAATAAATTGCCCGCAACACAGTATGCAGAGCTTGCATAAACAAATGCCCATTCGCGACTCACCAGCACCGATTTGCAACTCACCATCGCTCTTCACCACTCACCATCGCTCTTCACCACTCACCATCGGCCATGCATGACTTCTATGCACTTGAACGCAGCTGTCTTGTCCTTGAACCTCACTGTCACCACTCACCATCGCTCTTCACCACTCACCATTGCCATTCACCACTCACTCACCATCGTCCGTGCATGACTTCTATGCACTTGAACGCAGCTGCCTTGTCCTTGAACCTCACAGTCACCACGCCATCTGGATGATTGGGGAACACCTGGAGGCAGGAGAAGGCACGGCATACACATAAAGGCATGATGGGGAAGATCACCAGAAGGAGATAAGGGAACCTCCTCTCCCACGTTCCTCTACAGCAAGGGGTAGGGTGGATGTGATATGTGTGCCTTTTTAATCCACCCAGTCTCAGATATGAAGGAAGGGTGTGTGCCTTCTTACTCCACTGTCTCTGATATGAATATTATGAAGGAAGGGTGTGTGCCTTCTCTGCCCACTTGAACAAGCCAGGGAAGCGTGTCCTTCATATTTAAAAAAAGGGAGATTAGGTTAGAATAGAGGCAAACCTTTTGAAATCCTACCACCTTGACTCGCTCCACCACGCCCATCTTGGCACACTCCTCGCGCACCTCCGCCTCCAACTCCACCGGCAGTGAGGGGTCAGGCGGGTGGATGAGTGGGTGCAACAGGCAGCAAAGTATCGAGTGAGGTGAGTGTGTGTGCAGCTGGTATCGTAGAACTCACCTTAACTCTCCCCACAACCCCCGTCTTGGCGCACTCCTCCCGCACCTCCGCCTCGAGCTCCTCCCGGCAGCAAAGGTCGGGTCAAGTGGATGGTTGTGCCTTCCCACGAGCGTGTCATGTAGCTGGTATTGTAGGATTCACCTTAACTCTCTCCACAACCCCCATCTTGGCGCACTCCTCCCGCACCTCCGCCTCCAGCTCCACCGGCAGTGAGGGGCCAGGCGGGTGGATGAGTTGACTGCATACAGAACCCTGAACCCTAAGTGCCTTCCTCTCACCTTGACCCTCTCAACGGTGCCCATCTTGGCACAATCCTCCCGCACCTCCGCCTCCAGCTCCACCGGCAAGGAGGGGCCAAGTGGGTGAGTGTGCCTTCTCACCCGCTCGCCACAGGCAGAAACCAAACCAGTATCATTGGACTCACCTTGACCCTCTCACCAACTCCCATCTTGGCGCACTCCTCCCGCACCTCCGCCTCCAGCTCCACAGGCAGCGAGGGATCATTGACCACCTTGTCGCGAGTGAGCATGTGGTATTGTAGCACATACCTTGACCCTCTCAACAACTCCCATCTTGGCGCACTCCTCCCGCACCTCCGCCTCTAGTTCCACTGGCAGTGAGGGATCATTGACCACCTTGTCGCGAGTGAGTATGTGGTATTGTAGCACATACCTTGACCCTCTCAACAACTCCCATCTTGGCGCACTCCTCCTGCACCTCCGCCTCTAGTTCCACTGGCAGTGAGGGATCATTGACCACCTCGTCGCGAGTGAGCATGTGGAAGAGAGCCACCGTCATGGGGAGGGTGTGCTTGGCGTTGTCGGATCCGCCTGAAAGGGTGGGAAGGGTTAGGGAGAAAGAGGGTCAGGTGACAGAGATTCAGAGAGCAGCGAGGGTTGGTTGACCACCTCGTCTCGTGTGAGCATGTGGAAGAGCGCGACGGTCATGGGCAGGGTGTGCTTGGCGTTGTCGGATCCTCCTGGAGGGGCGAAGAGGGAGGAAAGGGGTGGATCACGCAGCAAGGGACGTGAGGGAGCAGCAGTAGTCGCAGCAGCGGCAACTTATCAAGCAACAGAGAAGGGCCATTAACCACCTCGTCTCGTGTGAGCATGTGGAAGAGCGCGACTGTCATTGGGAGGGTGTGCTTCGCGTTGTCAGACCCGCCTGGAGTGTGAGGGTTGGGGAGAAAGAGGAAGGGCGTGGCACAAGCAGCAAGGGACGTGAGGGATCAGCGGCAGTGGCGGCAGCAGCGGCAACTTATCAAGCAACAGAGAAGGGTCATTGACCACCTCGTCTCGTGTGAGCATGTGGAAGAGAGCGAGGGTCATTGGGAGGGTGTGCTTGGCTTAGTCCGACCCGCCTGGGGGCACAGAAGGGACTTAAAGCCATGTTGCTAAACCATGTGAACATGTGAGAACACTGATACTCTCAAAAGGTTCAGGAATGGGGTTGGAAGGGATTAGAGCGAGCAAGCGTAGTGCAGTGGAGCGGATAAAGAGATAACTCCCCCCATCCCAGCACCTTGGCCTCTAGCTTCTTGAGTTTCTTCTTCTTGTTCTTGTCACTCGCCTTCTTCACAAACACATTGCCAACACACAGCAACCCATGACCCACCTGGCCTTGCATCACTCAACCCATCCTGCAAACACCTGGCAGCCCATGACCCACCTGGGCTGGGCTTACAGCATTCACTCACCCCATCCCAGCACCTTCGCTTCGAGCTTCTTGAGTTTCTTCTTCTTGTTCTTGTCACTCGCCTTCTTCACAAACACATTGCCTGGCAAAGCAGTTAGAGGCAAGGGGAGGAGACGTGGTAAGGCAGGCATGGGAGAAACATGGAACGTGGATGAGCTAGAAGTGATGTGGGTGTGACGTGGAGAAGCAAGGATGTATTTGTAAATCGGAGTAGCAAAGGGGTGGATAATTTTAGCAGCTCACTATAATCCTTGCAGGAGAATGTGGTGTGAATGAACTATAACATCACAAACCCGCACCTTTCTGCTCGAACTTGGCAAGGGTCACAGACATGGGGTGCTTGTCGCCCAGTCTCAAAGAGTCATGTCATATCATACCAGCATCACCACCACTCACCACAACCTTCCACCACTCTCGCACCTTTCTGCTCAAACTTGGCAAGGGTCACAGACATGGGGTGCTTGTCGCCTAGTCTCAAAGAGTCATGTCATATCATACCAGCATCACCACCACTCACTACCACCTTCCACCACTCTCGCACCTTTCTGCTCGAACTTGGCGAGGGTCACAGACATGGGGTGCTTGTCGCCTAGTCTCAGGGGAGTGCCGTCCAAAATCTTGAGAGCAAGGTCAACTGAGGGCGGCTGAAGGGCGGAAAGGGGGGATGGAGAGTGGGGGGAAGAGAGAGGGGGGATGGATGCTTGCCAGTCTCAGGGGAGTGCCGTCCAAAATCTTGAGTGCTAGATCAACTGAAGGCGGATGGAACGGGGAATGGGGGGATGGAGAGGAGGGGAAGGGGAGGGGGAGTGATTGCCGCCTAGTCTCAGGGGAGCGCCGTCCAGAGTCTCGAGTGCTAGATCAACTGAAGGCGGCTGGAAGGGGGGAGGGGGGATGGAGAGCGGGGATAAGGAGGAGGATGGAGAGGAGGGGAAGGGGGAGGGGGACTCTTGTTGCCTAGTCTCAGGGCGTATTCCATGTTCGTGGCAGGGCAACAGTTCACGTCGAGTTGGTGGCAACTGTTCCCAAAAACTCAGTGGGCCGGAAAATGCGCATGCCACCAACAGTGCGATGAACAGTTGCCCTGCCACGAACATGGAATACGCCCTCAGAGGGGCGCTGTCCAAAATCTTGCGCGCTAGACCCACTGAGGGCGGCTGGAGAGGAAGCGAAAAGGGGGGGAGGGGAAGGGGGTGTTGGTGCGGAATGTTTCGAAACTGTCAAAACAGATTGTCTTTCAAGTCGCAGAGGAATGCTGTCCAGAAAATGAGAGCTGAACCCACTGACGGTGGCCAGAGAGGGAAACAGGGAGAGGGGGCGGGGAAGGAGGGGAGGAGGGAGGAGAGGAAGATCCATGTGTAAATCCCTCTCCAGGAATCATGGCCTTTTGAGACGTCTCAAAAACACCCTCTCTACACGTGAAGATCCATGTTTAAATCCCTCTCCAGGACTCATGGCCTGCGAGTTGACTTTTGAGTCGACTTTTGAGTTGACTTTTGAGTTGACTTTTGAGTTGACTCAAGAATCATGGCCTGCAAGTTGACTTTTGAGTTGACTTTTGAGTTGACTCAAGAATCATGGCTTGCTGGTGATGGACAGAATGGAACCGCTTCCAGAATTCTCAAAAGTGACTCAAATATAACTCGTGAGGAATGAAATGGTACGAAACGAGACTAACCTTGAGGAATGTGATGAGCCCATCCCCCTTGAGCTCGCCTGTCGCCTTCTCCCGATACAGCCAGCTTCACCCGCGGCTTCTGTGAGAGAGACGTTACGAATGCAACCAGCACTCACCTTGAAGAGTATGAGCAGACTCACCTTGAGGAATGTGATGAGCCCATCCCCTTTGAGCTCGCCTGTCGCCTTGTCCCGATACAGCTTCACCCGTGGCTTGCCTGTCTCCAGGTCCTGAGAAGAAGCCAAGGTGGACAAGAGGCAGGGGAGATTTTCTAGTCGACTAAAAACAAGTGTCGGCTTGCACGTGTCCAAATCCTGACACGCCAAGCTTTTGAGTCAACTCAAAAAAAAAAAAAAAAAAAAAAAAAAAAAAAGTGGCAGCTTACACGTGTCCAAATCCTCACAAACCAAGACAAAACGTAGGGAAACCAAAATGAGAGAAAGAACACGGAAGCAACGGAAAAAGGGGGGTGCACTGGTTTCTGACCTCTTTGATAAGCCCACACTTGGAAAACACCTCCAGCACCTGCGGTACAGGGAAAGCAGAATCCGAAAAAAGACGCAGAAGTTAAGGCCAAAAGCAGTGGGAATGACAAGAATCACCCCGGACATGGGCATATACGCATGAGCATGTATGAGACGAGATGTCACACTCAAGTGGCACGAAAGCGACAAAACATACTGGTACACCCTGTACTCGCTATAGGCGCCCCACCTCGTCCTCGTTGGTATCGTGAGGCAGGCCGGTGACGTACACACTTGTGTTGACTTTCAGCTCAAACCACTCGTTCGGTTCGTTGTTGGCGACCTAACATGGGGACAGGGAGAGAGGTGAGGCAGAGGAAGGAAGCAGAGAGTAAGGACTTTTGAGCTATGTTGCACTATACGCGATTGGCGTACCAATCGCGTTCGAACTATACGCTCACGTACGAACGTGAGACGGGGGATTTCCGACCCACGATACGCTCCAAATACGTTCGCCCGGGCAGAGGGAAAAAAAGTTTCGGGCAGGGGAAAAGTAGTGTCAGGGGGTGAGGCGTGTTACCGATGTTCATTGTGTTTTTGCCATGGTGGTTTTTTCCCCACTTATGAATTTTGTTTTCCCCATTACAAACATGCATTGCAAGTACACACACACATACTAGCACGGCTTCCTCCTCCTCCTCCTCCTCCTCCTCCTCCTCCTCCTCCTCCTCCTCCTCCTCCTCCTCCTCCTCCTCCTCCTCCTCCTCCTCCTCCTCCTCCTCCTCCTCCTCCTCCTCCTCCTCCTCCTCCTCCTCCTCCTCCTCCTCCTCCTCCTCCTCCTCCTCCTCCTCCTCCTCCTCCTCCTCCTCCTCCTCCTCCTCCTCCTCCTCCTCCTCCTCCTCCTCCTCCTCCTCCTCCTCCTCCTCCTCCTCCTCCTCCTCCTCCTCCTCCTCCTCCTCCTCCTCCTCCTCCTCCTCCTCCTCCTCCTCCTCCTCCTCCTCCTCCTCCTCCTCCTCCTCCTCCTCCTCCTCCTCCTCCTCCTCCTCCTCCTCCTCCTCCTCCTCCTCCTCCTCCTCCTCCTCCTCCTCCTCCTCCTCCTCCTCCTCCTCCTCCTCCTCCTCCTCCTCCTCCTCCTCCTCCTCCTCCTCCTCCTCCTCCTCCTCCTCCTCCTCCTCCTCCTCCTCCTCCTCCTCCTCCTCCTCCTCTCCTCCTCCTCCTCCTCCTCCTCCTCCTCCTCCTCCTCCTCCTCCTCCTCCTCCTCCTCCTCCTCCTCCTCCTCCTCCTCCTCCTCCTCCTCCTCCTCCTCCTCCTCCTCCTCCTCCTCCTCCTCCTCCTCCTCCTCCTCCTCCTCCTCCTCCTCCTCCTCCTCCTCCTCCTCCTCCTCCTCCTCCTCCTCCTCCTCTCCTCCTCCTCCTCCTCCTCCTCCTCCTCCTCCTCCTCCTCCTCCCTCCTCCTCCTCCTCCTCCTCCTCCTCCTTGTATCCCTCCGGCAGAGGGGGAGCAGGGATGTTGCCCGGAAGCACCGCTAGTGACTCACCCCTCTTGTGGTACTTGTGGATCACAGGCCAGTTGAAGGCCACATAAACTAGGTCCCGGAGTTTCTCCGAGCCTAGCTTGTTGCGGCGGGCAGTGTGCACCGACTCCCATGATGCCCACCCGCGCTCACACGGCGAGGCTGACAACGGCTGTGTCAGGGCACGGCACGCAAGGCTGGCAAGGTGGGGGTGGTCAGTCCCATGCCATCCCCACCACTGCACCATCGAGTGCTTGCCTGCCTTCACGGCCTGCCTGTCGGCAATTGCCTCAGGGAGGCCGAAGGATCCTTCAAGGGTGAGGAAGGTCGTGAGCCCCTTTTGCAAAACAAGAGAGGCCCGCTTCTCCTCACCGTCTTTGTTGGTGAAGGTCTTGCCGTCGCAGTGACGTGCGATGAACGCCTTCAAGATGCGCGTACATTCCACATCGGTGCGGAATATACCCTCTTCCTGATTTGCCGGGTTTAGGATCCGGCCAACGACGTGAAGAGCGCAAGCGAAGCTCTCGTCCCAACGGCGCCGAACAATCTTCCCTATCTTAGCCGCATCCGCCCGCATCAGAATCTTATCCCCCGCCTCCAGCTTGGCCATCATGTCCTCGGTCAGCTGGAGCATGAGGTCATAGATGGTGCCCATCATGCCTTTCGCGCTGCTGTCCGTGGCCCGCATCACCTTGAACGGAAGCGCCAAGAGCTCCACGAGGTATGTTGCCTTCGTCCACCACTCGTCGTCCATGACGTGGCCGCGGAAGGTATCCGCAGTCAGCTTCCTTGTCCCCATCCCCCAATTGCCATACTCCTCGCTCAGCACCATCTGAGACAACGTCGGCCGCAGCTGGCACAGCCTTGAGAGAGCGATGAAGTTGGTGCAGAATCTGGTCCCCGCCGGCTTCACAAGCTGCTTCCCTTTTCCTCCCTTCACCGCCCCACTCCTCAGGTAATTGCGGGTGAAATGGTGGTTGCGGACGTAGGTGATCATGTCCCCGCACCGATCAACAATCTCCTTCGCCCACGGGATCTTGCCCACGTCCTCCATCAGGAGGTCGAGCACGTGCGTAGCGCACGGCACGTACTCGATGTGCGGCCAATCCGCCATGAGCTCGTCGCCAATGAAGTCGGTGATGCGGCCTTTCTTCGAACCTCCCACGACAGCTTCGAGCGCAGCCTCCTCGGCCCTCCTCTTTTCGTCGCGGCCGGATGTCTTCTTCTCGTAATGCGCGCGCACCGCCGCTCGCACGTCGGACGGAGCCTTCTCGCACAGGCGGACGTCGCGCGTATTCTGTCCCTTCCATTTCGCGAGATGCTGAGCGCATCGAAACGCACCGCCCTTGAACTCGATGGCGCAATACTTGCAAACGCGAACAGCGCCGACGGTGTCGGGGCGGATCGGAACCTTGAAATGCTTGAAAAAGATATGCGTACTATCCTCCTCCTGCCATTGTGCCTCCGAGGTCGAGGCTAACGGATCACTAGTCTGAGTGCTGGGAGATGGGTCTGGAGTAGCCATAGTTCAACAGAGAACAAACGGGAGGCTAGGAAGAACTGGATGAGAATTGTGTTGAAGTGGGATGAATTATACTTACCACGTATTGGTTGTGGGGAGGGGGACGTGCTGTGGTTGGTCACGACTTGTTGGGGGTGATTGGGCAATGTTGATGTACGTGGGGTGAACGTGGCGACTCGGTTTTGCACGTCCCATGATTGAAAAAAAAAGCGAATTGAAATGTCGGTATACATGCGTACGGAAAGAGCGCGAACTTTGTTTTTTGTTTTTTTTTTTTTTGTCTGCCCGGCTTTCCGTATCGCGCATTTGTCCCCGTTTCACGTTTTTGCGTTTACACGTGAACGCATAAACGTGAAACGAATAACACCCTAAGCGTATAGTGCAACATAGCTTTTGAGGCGCCTCAAAAGACAGGGAGAGAGGTGAGGCAGAGGAAGGAATCAGAGAGTAAGGGAAAGAGGAGAAGGTAAGAGGCAGGCCGATGACCGAAGAGAGGGTGAGAGAGAAACAAGAGAGGGAGGAAAGGAGGATGCATGCATACATGGCTCACATGCGCTTTCAACGTGCGTGTGAATCTCCTCAAAAGTCGACCTTTACCCAAACCACCCATCCACTGACCTTCGTCTGGAGCTCCTTTCGTGCTTCTACAGGCCGCTTTTCTCGCCCATTGATCCAACCACTACTTCAGAGTCGACTCAAAATTCACCTCGTTACAATGGCACACGACACATTTTGAGTCGACTCAAAAGTCACCTCCTTTCGAGCTTCTACAGGTTGCTGTTCTTGCCCATTTCAACCAGCCACTACTTCAATCAAGAACACACGACCACGTGTGTGTCTCCAACCTGTATGAAGACCAACAACCCCACCCACTGACCTTCTTCTGGAGCTCTTTTCGTGTTTCCACATGCTCCTTCTCTTGCCCTTGTTCTTTCTTCCCTGCCCCCTCTTTCCCCCCCTCCTTGCCCTTCCCACCCCCTTCCATCTCTCCCCAATGATTCCCTCCCTCCGCTCCTCCTCCTTCCTCCCCCTTCCCACCCCCCCCTCGTTTCTCCCCCTTCTTCCACCCCTTCCCCTTCCCCTTCTCCTTCTCCCCACCCTTCCCCCACTTCTTCCCCCCACGCTCCGCGTCCCCCCCTCTCCCCGCCCCCATCTCCTCCTCCTCGCTCGCCTCTGCGCGCTCCCTCTCAGCGACAGCAGCAGCAATGGCAGCGTCAGGAGAGGGGATAACCTCCTCGTCCTCCACGAACACCATCTGCTCTGGGTCGTAACCTGGTAACCCTGCTGCTGCATCTGGCGCCCCTGCTGCTGCTGCTGCTGCTGCTCCTTCTTCCCCCTGGAAGACACAAGACAGTGGAGACCCAGAAGGCAGGAGAAAGCAAGCCATGGGAGCAGAAGAGGGATATGAGGAGGGGAGGGGGGAGATTCCGAGGAAGGTAAGCAGAGGGGCAGGCGTAGCAAGACATAACGGAGCGACTCACCCACTCACCAGAGGCACCCACACGCGCATGCATGCATCCCAGCGGTATATCGTGCCATCATCATCCTTGAAACAGCCACCACCCTTTGCTGTTATACCAAGAAGGCATGCACGAGTGACTCACTCACTCACCAGGGGCACCCACACGCTCATGCGCGCATCCCTCCCAGCGGTGTATCGTGCCATCATCATTCTCAAACTGAAAGACTTCTGCTGACTAGCATGGCAGGACATAAAGGAGCAACACACTCACTCACCACCCACTCACCAGAGGCACCCACACGCGCATGCGTGCATCCCATCGGTATATCGTGCCATCATCATCCTCAAATTGGTCCCCTTCTGCTGGATCGCCCTCCTCCCCTTGCCCCTGCCCTTGCTGCCCCTGCCCCTTCCCCTGCCCCTCCCCCTGCCCCTGCTGCTGCTGCTGCCGTTGCTCTTGTGTGACTGCAGATGCCATTTCCACATCCCCATTCCCACCTTCCTGCCCCTTCCTCCCTTCCTCCCTCCCTTCCTCTGCCTCCTCACCCCCATCTCCCTCTCCCTCCGCCTCCGCCTCATCTTCATCCTCCTCCTCATCCTCGTCCTCTTCCATATCAGCATCAGCGCCATGGGCTAGAGCCGCCACCACTCGACCTCTCTTTCTCGCTGCCCGTTGCGCAGCAGCTGCTTCCGCCTCTGCCCGCCTTACCTCCTCTAGAAACTTTTTCATCTCCTCGTCCTCTGCTCCCCCTCCTCTCCCACCCCCCGCGCCCCCTTCTCCCCCTGCTCCCCCGTCCCCGCCCCCTTTCCCCTTCCCCTTCCCCTTCCCCTTCCCGTTGCCCTTCCCCCTCCCCCCATCGCCAGCAGGAGGCCCCCATTGCCAAGTCCTACCAGCCTTGAGTTCCCCACCGGTTCCTGCTGTGCCTGCTGTGGCATTTGAAGCTTCTCCATTCCCTGCTGCTGTCACTGGCACTGCTGCTGCTACCCCTGCTGCTGCTGTTGCTCCTTCTCCTGCTACTCCTGCTGCTGCCTCAGAAGCAGCAGCACTGGCACCAGCAGCGCAAGCTGCAGCGAATTCAGGAATTACCTTTATGGGCAGCCACTCTGCACAGCCTTCAGCCCAGAAGAGAGTTTCAGGCGTTACATAGTTGTATGCGAGAAGACCTGAAAGCAGTCACAGGTTGGAGTAACGGGTTAAACTGATTGGAGTCAGAAACTGAAAGCAAGGAAAGAGCGAGGCAGGGGTAACGACGAAATGCCAGGAGCTTTATCGCCAGCCAAATGTAACAGCGCTCTGTTCGTTTCTGAAAATCGGTTTTCAGGAGGGTCTTGGAAGGGTCTCCAACTACCCTTTCATGAAACTATATTTAGCGACTGGAGCGAAGGTAAAATTAGCGACGATTGGCAAGAGGAGGAGAGCAGACGTACCGGGAACCTGGTCGTCTGGATAAGGCCCTTGATTCTGCTGGTTCACGTCCAAGAAGAACCATCCACGGCCTGAAATTGCCGGAACGTCTTTACCAGCTTCTGCCATTGATTCTACTGGCTGAACGTCAACCTTCTGCGCGTCGTCAGGCTCGTCTGATGGCTTAGACGGCTGAGCTTCCGCCATAATTATGAAAGTCGGGACATGAATTACGAGTAAGCTCTAGGTTCTGTGCAAATCCTCTGTAAACCGTACGCGATTTAGTTGTCCCCACTTAGATCGCCTAAGATCTAGTGAACTATAATCTTAATGATATGAAATCGCCATTCTGACTTTTCCAACTGTTACAAGAGCTTCAAGGTCTATAAAAAAACATAATATAACAAGGCACCTTTATAGAGATATTATCCAACGTGGCAAAACATCGCCATACATGCGCAAACCATCTCAGCCAATGTCTACATGTTCTCCAACTTCCATTAGGCATCTGAAGCACACATGATAATTCTTGAAAGTGTAATGTGTTGAGATAATATCGAGACTTAAACACTTCAAGGAAATTCGTGTAGTACAGTAAATTACCGATAGGCTGACGTCAGCAAAGCGCTACGCACCCTAGGATGACGTCGGCACGTAGCTATAGGCCTCGCGAATAGTCACGTACCGTTTCAGAACAGGAATAGCGAGAATAGCACAGTACAATAGGCGAAAAGGTACTTTACTCTAGCTATATATTCTGTATGTTTGTCATTTTATAATATATCTGATTTCAGAGACATTGATCCTGAAACATATCACTACATGGGCTTTCACTAGTCCAGACAAAGCCTCCTTAACTGGCTTTAATTCATACAAGACTTCCGCTACGACATGAAGCTACCATCCTAAGTATACGATCCTATTCAATCATTTCAAATTCTAACATGGTATTGCGAGCGTCTTAGGATTCTACAAGCTTCGAACTATATACTCTGCAACTATGTCTGGCTCTCCACGATCCAACAACGGCTCTTCTGTTACGAGCCCATCACGCCCAACAGCGTCTCCAGCTGCTGACAATTCTTATATGCAGCAACAACATCAACAACAACAATATCAGCAACAACCGATGTACGGCATGCCACTGAGCAATCAGCCCATACACACAACCGCAGCAGCGGCATCATCGGCAGCAGCTGCAGCAAAAGCGGCATCATCAGCAACAACAGCTGCAGCTGCAGTAACTGGTTCTACTAATCAACCAGGACAACAGTCTAGTTTCGTACCGACTGGACCTTATCAATATCAAGGTGCTTACCAGCCAACAAATCTTCAACAACGTGTCAATGATGTCGTCTTGTCACTTAACCAAATGTTTCCAACTCCTATGAGCCTTGATGGCTCCAGTTATCGGCATGGACAGATGCCACAAGGAAGCGATGGGTCGAATAACTCCTTCTCTTTCGTTCCTGCTGGACAAGGACAACAAGCACCACAAGGGTCACAGATGCCATCCCTTTATCAGTTACAATCAGCTGACGGCACCGGAAACTATCTTCCCACTTCTGCAAACCCAACAAAAATTAAAACGACAATGCCTTTTAACGGTCAAGACTTCTATACCTGGAGTTTTGAATTCGAGCTTCTTGTTCAGACCGCGGGATTCTGGCAGTTGTTCGACAGCACAGCACCCTTTCCATCACACGGGTCACCACTTCAACAGGCCACTTTTCGATCAGCGTCGCTGACTGCATACACAGTTCTCGTTCGCAATCTGACACCGACTGAACAGCTTGGTATTCGTCCTTTTCGTACCAGTGCTGCTCCCGCTGAAGCAGCTTGGTTATACCTGCAAGGGGTTCACATGGCAAAGGACACTGTCAACCAGAGTAAAATTTTAACGCAGCTGTCAAATATCCAGATGATAAACAGCGAGAAGGCGACGCAGTATATCAACCGCGCTCGAAACCTGCGCGACCAACTTCAAAAGTGTGGAGGATACTTCCCCGACGCTATCTTTCACACGGTGCTACTCGCGGGTCTTGGACCAGAATGGCGGCAGTGTCGCTCTATTCTTCGGATGCAAGCACAGTTGTCCGAGGGGGCATTCTGTGCCGCTCTCATTGCCGAGCAGCAGGATATGGACCTGCACAACGCTCGAGGAGGGAAAAATGTGGTAAACAACACAGTCAGTTTTTATTCTACTCCACGTCACAAGCCCGTTTGTTCCTTTTGTCGCAAAGCAGGTCATACTATTGATGCCTGCTGGTCAAAGGATAAACCATCTTGGAAGCGGTCTGCATCGAAACATACCAAAGATTCTTCAGGTGAAGCTGAGAAGCTGGAAGCTGAGAAGCCGGAAGCTGCGAAGCAGAATACTGCGAAGCCGAACTCTGCGAAGCCGCCTACTACACCTGCCAAGACACAAGCAAAAGAGGTTGTTAATTGCATAACGTCAGTTTCTACAGTCTACGATCCTGACGCTGAAGAACGTATTCACGATAACTTCAATAATGAACTCAATACGCCCATACCACCCGAGGTCTACGCCAACCTTGCACATACCTTGGAAGGTCCCAACACTTGGTATCTCGACAGTTGTTGCGGCCAGCATATGTGTTCATCAGAAAACCGCTTCATCATCAATCAGCGCCGTCTTCAGACTCCATGTGTTGTAACCGTCGCCAACAATCAACGTCTTACAACACACTGGATGGGTAACATCATTCTTGATTCCGTTGAAGAAGACTTCAGTCTTCACCTTAACGATGTACTTCTCGTTCCTCGACTTGGCTTCAATCTGATGTCATCTGCACAGCTCATGAGGAATGGAATTACTCTTCTTGGCGAACTGGGCAAGTTTACTTTAAAATACGGAGACAGGAAACTCGGCACGGCAATCGAACAGAACGGTGTATTCGTTCTCAACTTCGTAACTGAACGTACCACTGCCGACTCCGACAATATTCTCTCTCTCGGCCCATGGGAACATCGTGATGACATCGATTACACCGATGATACCGTTCCTCGTGAAGGAGTCGTACCCACGTCTTCAACCACGACTGCCGCTGTCATGCTGACCTTTGATAATCAAGGCCTGTATGATGTTCAGAACTCCCGCGATTATCTTGCTCAAGTTGGTGGATGGGGAGATACGACGAATATGCCCACGGATGAAGGCACTTGGGGTGCACAGGAACCTGACGAGACCACTTGGGGAGAAACACCTGCTGATCGTGATCGACGTCTTCTCACTGAAGCAGAGCAGCGTGTCGCTGACATGGAAGTCCTTGACTTCGGACGACTTGTCGGCGTTGAGCCTAAACCTACAGCATCAGATCAAGAGAGCAGGGAGTTAGTTCTTTCTCCTGGCGAATACGTCGACGTTGACATAAAAGTTCCACCACCTAACCTTACCAGGTTCATCCCGCCTGTCACAGATCATGTCCGCGCTGACGGTCATCGGCTGCTGTTATCTTTCTTCGCTAACGCTGATCATTATCTGCGCGCACAGGGACACAAAGCAACTGCAGACACATGGCATAAGCGTCTTGGTCATCCGTCGCAGTCTACGCTCAACAACACAATCAAAGCAGCTGTTCTCGACAAGAATTCTCTTCTCTTACCTGGCGGCCTCGAAATGAAACCGGTTAATCGTCCATCACCCTGCTTGATCCGCCCAGCAGCAAATCTACCGCACGAACTGTACCCGGCTCATTTTCCTGGCGCTGAGGATTATCGATTGATGGAAAAAGTTTACAGTGATATTATAAACTTACCTGCGGAAGGTTTCAATGGCGAGAAATACGTCATCACGTTCACTGAAGCTTCTACTCGATATGTCTGGACTGGTAACATGACTAACCGTTTTCTTGCTTTCACAGCGTTTCAGACATGGCTGCCTCTCGCAGAACGCGAGTCCGACACCAAACTCAAAACCTTCCAGTGTGACGGAGATGGGGAATATCGCAGTCTCGAGTTTTCAGCGTACCTGCAAGAAAGAGGCATACGGCGCCTGTTCTCACTTCCTCACGCTCACCAACAGAGCGGTGTAGCTGAACGCCTCAATCGTACTCTGCAAGAAAAGATGCGATCACTACTCGCACAATCTCAACTCGGCTCACTCTACTGGCCCTTCGCAATGGACCACGCAACCCTGTTGCATAACCTCCTGTCTTCATCGGCTCTACCCAACAACGCATCACCTCACTTGTTGTGGACAGGAAAATTGGGCACTACGAAACTTCTTCGAGTTTTTTGGTGTATCGTGCAATATCGTCCTCCTACCGCTCCGCTTGGAAAATTCGATCAACGCGCTAAATGGGGTCTTCATCTCGGCCTTGAGAAGCAGATTTCTGCCTGGCGTATCATGGATTATCGCAGTCGTCTTTTAATACCTGCCCGCGACTGTATTTTCTACGAAAATCTGACCCTTCCTGTCTTCGAACAGTATCTCGCCACGCAGCGTGACCCTGCTACACTTTTCCACAGTGTTCGTTCATTCGCCAGCGTTGACGCCGAACTCGCTGCCAGCGAAGAACCTGACATTGACGGTGCACGTGAAGCTGCTCCTGATCCACCTATACCAACCACCTCTTCCGGATTTCCGGAATTCATTCCTCTCGTCGATGCTCATCCGGACGATGTTCGTGAAGTTCATCATACTTACCTGGTGGACGATCAACGACGTCCCATGCCAGCTGTAACTGACAGCAGCATCCGCGTCGATCCTGACGAAATTAGGGGGGCAAGTGGTGAACAGAATGAACCTGTCAATTTCGCAGGACGGACCAAAGACAGTCCTAACTATCAAACTGGGCTTCAGATACTGGGACTCGCAGCAGCAGTACAGCACAATTTTACAGAAGTCGGAGAACCGAAAACTGCCCGACAGGCCCTTTCAAGACCACATCGCGAAAAATGGTGTGAAGCCATGGATCGTGAACTGGCTGCCCTGGAAAAGCGGGAAACTTGGGAGCTCATACCCATCGAAAAAGCCGTAAATAAAAATGTTCTCACCGGAAAGTGGGTTTTCAGGGTGAAGACGAAAGCTGATGGCTCTTATGAAAAACATAAGGCAAGGTGGGTTGTTCGCGGTTTTGACCAAACTCATGGGGTCGACTACACACTAACTTTTGCCCCGGTCAGCCGACACACAAGTGTTCGTCTCGTCATCTGCGAAGCAGCTTCGAAGAATTTTCCGCTTC